AGACGAGGCAAACAGATCCACGCAAGACGCCGCACTGAAAAAGTATGCGTGCTGGCGGCCAAGAATAGCCTGCATGCGGTTGGCACAGCTCAGTGACAAGATATAATGATGACGCGCCGCAGAAGTGCATGCAGGTGAGTTACTATTTCCGCCAAAGCTTGCAAACTACTCAACAAAAGGCTCACCTTGAAATTGCAAATGTAACTACACAAACGCATTCCGTTGAAGTAAACATCGCCTTTTGTGCATGTCTTTTCGACCACCACAAGGTTAGCGCGACGTACGTTGACCTACATCCACAAAATTCTTGTCGTCCAACCTCCATACATTCCACTCAGGTCGCTGGAATATAGTAGGAGACGCGTTTGAGCAGAATAGCAATCGTTTCAATAGAATGACTTCGTCATTTGGCGGGCGCCTTCCTGTCTTGTATATTTCCAATGCGGCCATTAAGCGATTACATAAACCAGCGTATCCTCTTCCAGTCCGTACTATCTTCCCTCCCTCATTCACGTAATAGTTGGTGCTGAATGCACTTACGAATTTTTGCCACCACGCGCCTGTTAACATGTTTTCCCCTAGAAGTTCTATTGTGCACACCATGGCGTCAAAGGCAAGAAATGCTAGTCCAAGCCTTCTAATCGCGCGCCACGGCATTTCAGAATCAGGCGACTGTAGGATGAAAAATGCATAGTTGACTAATCTTTCACATGCCGAAATTAGTTTGTTTACCTCAATCCAGTTCAAGACTTCCTTGGCGAAGAGCGCTCGCATAGTCCTCAGTGTTGGCACCACTGTCCTCTCATGAATGCTGCAAAGTAACGCAGCTCTGTAGTTGAAAGTACGTTTTATTGCTTCGGGAGGAACAACTGGAAGATGCACAAATGGATGAGCTGCAGGGACCACTGCACTGCCGGCTCCTGCATCGTTGCTAGGGGTTTCGGACACAGAGATAACTGATGACAACGGGCTCTTGCGCATTGGTGCCGCGTGAACGCCAACTGACGGCTGCAGCCCATTCTGCTGGCTTTCTGAATACGGATCATTTGCAATTCCTCCTTGTTCGACATCACACCCTTTCGTTGTGGGAACTTTTTCATTTTTTGAGTCACCAGCCTGTGATGGCTCCGGCTGCAAGTTGATCGACCAGTTGCCCCCAGAAGAAGCTGCATGATCTGGTGGGGCACTATATTTCCCAGTTCCACTAGAATGAATGGTAGTGATCATCCCCCCGAAAGCTGACACAGTTGAATTCCCGTCGGATTGGAGTAAACTCCGTCGCTGCGCTTTTGCACTGGGTGACCGCGGCATAGACATACCGGTAGGCTGCCCCTGAACGGTGGAAACTTTGTTGTCACGTTTGACGGAACTGGACACACGGCGGGACATCATCAACCTCTGCATAGACGGGGGATCTCCCGGCTCAAGCTTCACGCCAGAAGAGCACACAAGCGGCAGTGGAACGGCTCGCTTTGGAGTTCCCGCCCGCTGGGGTTGCTCCTGAGCAATAACTGGCACGCAGGAGGCCCGTTGCACCTGTCCCTGAACCCCTTGCGCACGCCTCTCAAATTCCTCAGCAGCAAGAGATAGCATTTTCTCAATTGCACGTATCTTTCTACTCCGCAAACCGGCTGTCTCCTCTGCGTCTGGTAAGGTCTGACAATTCGCCCCCTCTGGTGGGTTCACCACATCCATGCCCACAAACCTTGAATACGCAGCAGCAGAACCCGGCACAACCGAAGCAGCATTAGCTACTTCCACAGTTGGGACTTGGAGTTCAACGAGGGTTTGTAAATCTGAGTTTGAAGCACCTCTGGCAACTGCTGTACTGCCGGTCTGCGTCCTCTCGAAGGCAGACCCAGAATGTAATAGCATGGCTTCAAATTGACTCATCTCGCCACCAGGAGTTGACGGCGGCCGAACATCTTGCGGGGTCCATAACGGCGCCAACGACGAAGCAATTAGGCCCTCGTTCGCCCCCTGCTTCCACTCCCCAGCAGAACCGCACAACGCTGGCTCGGCTGCCTGCGTAGTTGTAGCCGTAGCTCGTCCGTTGTCCTCTGTCTGACCGGTAGTCCACAGTCGTGAACTTCGTCCAATATCAGGAGGAAACCACTTCATTAAGTTGCTCTCAAGTGCACTCGCAGTTGTGTCACCACGTCCGCCGAAATTCCGGAAGGAGGTCCCTGTCGAAGCTTGTGGCAGGCACGGCGCCTCTTTTGTTGAATTTTCTGCTGAGCTGTATACATCCGGCACGAACCTGGGCTCCTCCCCACTTCGTTCTTCAGCTGTCCACACAGCATTGTGTAAGGTTTTTAGATTCATCTCAAGCAATGCGCAGTACTGTGCGCTGTGAGACAACGTGTGCCCATGCTGACTGTATGAGAGCCTCCGTTGCAACAACCCTAACGTCCCTGTTTTGTTTCCAGGGGGCTGGCAAAGAGTTGACCAAATCAAAACCATGCTTAGCGATGCAGCGATCGCAAGAGCTGAGGCGAGAAGTACACTAGCGTGGGGGACCTGTCTGCCTCCAGATCTCCCCCTAAGACGCGCAAAAGGCGGTCCTCCTTGCGCGAAGATGTACTCTACCACAGAGTCCTCAGCAGGATTTGAAAACCCAACTCCATTTTGGAGTTGCGTCTTCTGCATATGTTGCACGGAAATCTCCGCGGGGGCTATTTGCGGTCCTTCTTCCATGGTGATTCACACACGTTCCTTCGGGCTGCTCCTTGGGGGTTCAGTTGAGGACCACACCACATAAAGACACAGTGACTGCCCTCAAAAGACAGCGCCGATTAGATACCTTCTTCAAGTGAAGTGCCTTTAACTTTGGTGCTTAGGGCCCGTTGGCTTTCATGTGTTTCTCCACCCATGGACTTTCTGCGCCGAACGCTCTACAGGAGAGGGAGCAATCTAGCTGTGAACTGTCTTCATTGCCGCAGTTACACAACAGCATCGCCTTCCATACCCCGCTGCAATTCAATGAAAATAACATCAATATTCCATAGTGGTGAGGATGTCCGTGCATTTGCGGGTAGGGGCCCAACGGTCTGTCAATCGGAACTCACCGCGGTGCCAGCTCCTGCTCAACATTGGTTTGGGCCATCCTCTGGGACGGTCTCGGTTATTCCCTACATGTTATTATGGACTAATTCTGCCTTCTTCAAATTAATACGTTTAAATTCCTGTAGTGCGGTGGACGAAATTCGTTCCGCAAGACCACTGGGCTAAGCTGCTGAGGTTGGGTGTGCGGAGCACGGTCTCTTACCTAGAAGATTATATAATCGGACCGGAACTGAGAAAACAAGATTGAGAAAGCACTCAGTGGAGATCCAGCAGTACTGGTCCTCACTTATCAACATGTGTGCTGCTTCTCCTAACACAAAAAATGGCACGAGGGTTTCTTTAAGACTGAACGTGAAGGGGGGTAGCCATAAGAACAGCCACGCACCAAACATTGCGGCGCTCGTCTAGACGGAAGGGGGAAGTATAGCGAATAATTGAAGGTCACAAAATTGCTCTGCAAGTAGAATATGTTCATGTGAGTGGGCAACATGGGGCAGAATCTTCTGCCCCTAACTCAACTGAAGTGGGGGATAATGCCTAGCCCCTTTTGGTTCCGAGCCGAAATCTGTTTAGCTTCTCTTTTAGCTGAGCGAATTTTCCCGATGTACTACCAAATTTCGTGTTGTAAGGTTGATGTGGGTAATTTTAAAGCGGATTGTCTGGAAGAACTGATGGCGTGCACGACGAGACGTCCTTCACCTGTGTAAGGGACTGCCTAGAACACAGTGGATGGAGGTGTGGACAGTCAGAGTGAGTGCTTCTCTGCCTTTTCACTGTGTACATGTTCAGAATACAATAAGATACTGGTGCTACGCGCCAACTGCTAGACACACAGGGAAAAGCAGACGGTTAAAGTCGGCTCCTGAGCCGTACAATCCTGAGCTGTACAAAGAAACTCATCCACCTATATGGCATGCTAGAGCTGCTGGAGAGACCAAAAGCCTCAGACGAAGCGAAGCGCTGCTTGTTGTGAAGGCGCCTAT